ATGGCGAAACCAGTGAGCCCCATGACCCCTCTGAACCACACAAACTACGCGCACCGTGAGCCCTGTGTGCCCACGAACACTTGCGCCCCACCCACGCCCCACGAGTCGATCGCGAGCCCTCCGACCTCATGGGCCCTGTGAGCCCCATGAGCCCTACGAGCCCTACGGGCCCCACGAGCTCACGCTCCATGAGCCCCATGACGTCCGTGAGCCGCGGCCACCGAGCAACCACTATGACCCTTCAAGCCCCGCGAGCCCCACGAGCCCCCATGAGGCCCACGACACATAGCAGGCCAAACAAGCCCCACAGTTGGTCGCAGCGAGCTTTCCAGGCGCCATGCGACCAAGATTTTAAAGGCGAAGCGAAGCGAGCCGGTAAAATCTTGTATATATATACACATGTATATATATATATATATATAAACAAATGTTTACACATATGTCTTAAACAGTTTTAACACATGTTCTAGACATCTGCATCTTATTTGGCAGCATGCTTCCTCTCCACTGATCGTCCTCCACAGCTGCAGAGGGGCACGCCCGACCCGACCCCACCCGCGGGCGCCGCGCGGCCTGCCCCCGGGCGTCGCGCCGCCCCGGCCCTGCCGCGGCGTGGGCGCTGCCGCCCTGCGGGGGGCCGCGGCGCGCGGGGGAAGGGCGCGGCGGGCTCCCGCGAGGGCCACGCCGCGCGGCGGTGCGGCGGCGACGGGGGAGTGGGACGAGGAGGCCTCCTAGATTCCTAGATTTAGGTCGGGCCTGTCCCCCTACAGGGGGATTCTGGGCGAAACATTAAAAGCACTCAAAAAAAACAAATGCTCAACAAAAAGTAATTGAACAAATAGTCCCCAGGCTATGTTGTTCACTATTTTTGAATATCCCTCCCGTAGAGGGACAGGCCCGACTTGATCCTAGATGGGGTCGGAGTAGATGGGGTCGAAGGATCGCACCGCATCGCCAATATATCGCCGATGTATCGGCGATGCATCGGTGATGCATCGGCGACGTCGGCGATGCATCGGCGACGCCGGCGTGGAGGAAATCGGACCCCTCATCGAGCCGCATCGCCGATGCATCGGCGATGCGGCGCAATCCTCCGACCCCATCTACTCCGGCCCCATCTAGGAGGCCTAGAGGGGCGAGGAGGAGCTGGAGGGGGAACCACCTTGAGATCCGACGCTTGAAAAAATTGGAGCAGGCGGTTTTGACAGTTTTCGGCCTCTGGGGGCCCTCGCCGGGCGTCGGGAGCGTCAAGAAGCGACTCGGGGCGAAAAACCGGCCCTATATATATATATATATATATAGAGAGAGAGAGAGAGAGAGAGAGAGAGAGAGAGAGAGAGAGAGAGAGAAGTGGTCTGGACCTCCGGGGCCCACGCATCGAGAACAATGGAGCAGCTGGAGGTCTGGGGAAGAGGGCATGGATGAGAGCGAGGAGGACGAGGACGGGGACAGAGGCTCGAGGTGAGGCCCCCACCGCCGCCAGGACGGCCCCGAGCGCCCGTGCCCCCACTGGTGCCTCCCCGAAGGGGCCTGCGCGCCCTCGTGGCAGGTCCCCGCTCCGCCTCGCGGGGTGGGCGCGGAGATCGTTGCGCATTCTTCGGCCATGACCCAGGCTATCCAGGGGAGGGAGGAGGTACTGGCCGACAGCCTACCTAACCTTTTCGCGCTGGGCAGGCCCATGTGCCCGCGCGCACCAGCACTGCGTACCTCCTTCGGGCCTGCGCAACCCGGAAGGCCAGGTTCGCTTGGGGGGTAGCGGGGGCGGGCCCGATATTCGGGTTACCGCGACGCGGAATAGAATGTTCGGGGCGGAGGGGGCACGGGGCGGAGATCCCACTGGGGCGGTGGGGGCGCGGGGCGGCTCGGGGCAGAGGTCCACGGGGCGGGGGTCCCACTGGGGCGCTGGGGACGCGGCGGGGGGGGGAGGTGGCGTGCGTCGCGACGCGGAATAAAGTTGTCGGGGCGGAGGGGCAGTGGGCTGGGCTCGGGCCGACTGGGGCGCTGGGGGCGCGGAGGGGAGGTGGGGGGTGGTGTCGCGCGCGGAAGAAAACGTTCGTGGCGGGGGGGGGGGGGGGGGGGGGGGGGGGGCAATCCGCGGGCTCCTACTGGAGCGCTGGGGACGCGGGGGGGCTCGGGGTGACTGGGCTGGGCCGCTACCGGGGCGCTGGAGACGCGGGCGGGGGAGGGGGGGGAGGTGGTGTGCGTCACGACGCGGAATAAAATGATCGGGGCGGATGGGGCACTGGGCGGGGCTTGGGGCAGAGGGCCACGGGGCGGGGGTCCAACTGGGGCGCTGGGGACGGGGGGGGAGGGGGGGGGAGGTGGCGTGCGTCGCGACGCGGAATAAAATTGTCGGGGGGGGCACTGGAATGGGGGCCGACTGGGGCGTGGGGCGCGGGGGGAAAGGTGGGGGAGGTGGTGTGCGTCGCGACGCGGAATAAAATGGTCCTGGCGGAGGGGGCAGTGGGCGGGGCCTCCACTGGGGGAGGGAAGGTGGTGA